GAAATGCCCCACCACCTCAACCATTGTATCAGTCACTGAGTACCTACCTTACAGCATGCAGTTCCCGCCTGGATGGATTGGATGGGATGGGCACAGCAACACACGACGATGAGTCGCCGAAACCGCCCGGCCCGACTTTGAGACTAGACCAGACCGTGCCTTGACTTGACTTATTATGTATGTCCCATCTTCTTGGGGACAGAACAGATACCTTAGGTACAGCTAACGTCACCGTTGCTTGTATCCCAGGTTACTCTTACCTTATCCAGCCTGTAGAATCGCTGGTTTCCCTTTCGCTTCTCCCTCTTAGTCCCGCTCAACCTTAACCATCCCTCCCTCCTTCGCCATAACCTTGCCTTACAACCTTTCTCTTCTTTCATCTCTCAAACCCAATACTTCTTTGCTTCGCGCAGCTTCTAAGCCCAGCTATATCATTCTTGTATTCTGTTCCATCACTTGTCTGCCTCGTCTTAACCACGGAATACGCGCGCGCATTACTCCATAGTCTACCCTCCCCGCGAGAGAGAGACGGCGATCACCTTGCTCCGACAAGACAACCCCAAAGGAGACGCCAGCTGACACCTCCTCGTCCACGGTTTTCCTCGCATTGATTCTCTCTCCTTCTCCCGAGCCTGATTCTGGGATCACATCTTGACCGGGAAAATGGCAACCACCAGCGAAACTGGCGCGCCCAACTTGCGCCGCCGCGAGTCCTTGTCCGAGATTCGAGCTGCCAACCCTGATTTGGCTTTGAGCGGTAACATTATCTCGGCTACCTTCAACACACCGCATTCTTTCGTCTATCGAAAAGGCGGTGATTGGGTATGTAACTAACTAACTATTCACCTCGCTTCGCTTCGCTTCCTCAACATTTCATCTCGTATCACTATCAGTTACTGGGGTTCACTCTCTAGCTTGCATTTCCCCCTCTTCTCCAACCAAAGCTACAGAGGAGCTCCCTGCCTGCCAGGCTCAGCTCCCCCCCTACCCCTCGTCACATGAAAATTGAGCCTCAGCTAAACTTTTGCTCTCTGTACAGAACTTGAAATCTCGTCGCGGTCAATCTGCTCTCTTTGACTCCTTCGCATACCTCTCCTCCGACGCTACCCCGTGGAATCACACCGTTGTCGCGTGGACCGGCGAAATCGACGCTCCAACTGATGACGTCGTTTCTTCACCCGGCACGCCCGCCCCAAACACTTTTGGTGCGACATCGCTGAACGCCCTCTCCGCACCCGTTCCCATTGACGGCAACGCGCGCCTGCCGACTCCTCCTCCCGTAGATGGTCTTTGGGTACCTCGCGAGGACCAAGACCGCCTCGAGTATCGTTTGTCACACAACAAGACCATCCGCACCTACCCGGTTTGGCTCTCCGATGAATCCGAGGCCACTTCTGAGGGTATCCTTCTCAAGGACCAGGCACGCTGGCGACGCTATGCTGAGCAGGATCTCTACACCCTCCTACACTACAAGCAACATGAGCCGAACGACGGCCGACGCGAACGTGTCCAATGGGCCGATTACTATAGAATGAACCAGAAATTCGCCAACAAGATCATCGAGATCTACAAGCCTGGCGATATCGTCATCATTCATGACTACTTCCTCATGCTGCTTCCCAGTATGCTGCGACAGAGAGTACCTAACATGTACATCTCATTCTTCCTGCATTCTCCCTTCCCCAGTAGCGAGTTCCTCCGTTGTCTGCCTCGACGAAAGGAGGTTCTTGAGGGTGTTTTGGGCTCAAACCTCATTGGCTTTCAGTCATACAGTTACTCTCGCCATTTCCTGAGCTGCTGCACCCGAATCCTTGGGTTCCCCTCTGATACTCTCGGAATTGATGCTTATGGAACTCGTGTGCAAGTCGGCGTCTTCCCCATTGGCATTGACGCTGCCAAGGTTGAAAGCCATGCATGGACCGATGCTGTGACCGCCAAGTACAACGCACTGCGCGAGCTTTACCGCGGAAAGAAGATCATTGTCGGACGTGACCGTCTGGATAGTGTCAGAGGTGTTGCCCAGAAGCTGCAGGCTTTCGAGCGCTTCCTTGAGATGTACCCTGAGTGGCGTGAGAAGGTTGTTCTCATCCAGGTCACCTCGCCCACTAGCGTTGAGGCTGAGAAGGAGGATCTTGAGGACGACACGAAGGTTGCGTCCCGTGTCAACGAGCTTGTTATGCGCATCAACGGCATGTACGGAAGTCTGGGATTTTCTCCCGTCCAGCACTACCCGCAGTACCTCAGCCAGAACGAGTATTTTGCTCTTCTGCGTGCCGGTGACATTGGTCTCATCACCTCTGTGCGTGACGGCATGAACACCACAAGTCTAGAGTATATCATCTGCCAAAAGGAGGGCAATGCTCCTCTCATTCTCTCAGAGTTCAGTGGTACCGCTCACAGTCTCAGTGATGCCATCCACATCAATCCCTGGGATCTCAGTGGCGTTGCTGAGAAGATCAATGCGGCTCTCACCATGTCCGAAGCCAAGCGACAAGATATGCAGTCTCGTCTCTACAAACACGTTACTGAGCACAATGTGCAGTCCTGGATCACTAAGTTCATCCGCAAGGTTTATAATGTTCTTGGAGACAGCAGTTCTGCCAACTCCACTCCTTTACTCGACCGAGCTCTTCTTCTTACCCAATATCGCTCAGCTAACAAACGCCTGTTCATGTTCGACTATGACGGTACCCTGACGCCCATCGTGCGCGAGCCTAGTGCTGCAGTGCCTTCGGAGCGTCTTATTCACACCCTTGACCTGTTGGCTTCAGACCCCAAGAATGCTGTGTGGATCATTTCGGGACGAGACCAGGATTTCTTGAAGCAACATCTTGGCAACAACAGACGTCTTGGATTCTCAGCCGAGCACGGCAGCTTTATGAAGCACCCCGGCTCAGATGAGTGGGAGAACCTCGCAGAGAAGTTCGATATGGGATGGCAGGCTGAGGTGATGGAGGTCTTCCAGAAATACACCGACAGGGTTCAAGGTTTGTACACTGTCACATGTTCCACTTAACACACGCTGACAGTAAACAAGGTTCTTTTATCGAGAGAAAGCGATGTGCTTTGACCTGGCACTACAGATTGGCCGACCCCGAGCAAGGCATTCACATGTCACGAGAGTGCCATAAGGAGCTCGAATCTACAGTTGGCGCAAAATGGGATGTCGAGGTGATGCCTGGTAAGGCCAATATCGAAGTTCGCCCCACGTTTATCAACAAGGGCGAGATCGCCAAGCGCCTCATCACCATGTACCACACACCTGGCGCCGAGTCTGAAGACAAATCTGGGCACCTCGAGTTCGCCCTATGCATGGGTGACGACTTCACGGATGAGGACATGTTCCGAAGCCTTAATGCCGCTTCGGGCCCTGTGCTGGATGCCAACCACGTCTTCACAGTCACCGTCGGAGCGAGCACAAAGGTCACATTGGCCAAGTCGCATCTCCTGGAACCAGAGGATGTAGTCGAGTGCGTGGCTCTCCTCGCTGGTGTCCAGGATGTTGGAGAGCGTCTCGGCGAGGTGAATCTGGGGGCGCTGAGTGCTGTCGAGGGGCATATTCCCAATGATGAGCGGTAATGACAGAACAACTATTGTTTTTTCCAGGCGTTTTTGGACAAGACGAAGACAAGATAGACAGGCGGTGGGCGTATGGAATGGACAGCGATGAAAGACAAAGAAGGGTAGTATACAGAAAATGGGAAGATAGCGTGGAGACGTGCACGAAGGACACACACAGTTCTCAGCGTTCATGATATTAGCTGTTGTACATGCCAATGATAATGAGTTGAAAGTAGACAAATCCGTGGATTGCAGTAATATATGTTTGACCGATGTTAAGTATCGTGGGCTCATGTATCGTCGTCCATGAACCAGTCCAAAGTCACGGCCTGTATACACATTATACCTTTGGCAGGAGAACTTGTAATTTGACTAGGTTCACTAAAGCAATGCCAATTAGTCGTTGGTAACATGCCATAAGCTGAACTACCGCCGATTTGTAGCGACTAACCCAGCAAGGCTTTTATGACAGAGGATCAGCTCCCCGTTGACCATAGTTCGAAACTGCAGAGATGTGTTCAGAAGGCTATCAAAAGAGTCGAACCCCGACATCTTTGTCTACCTGAGCACGAATCAAGTAATGCAGACCTTGAGAATTTGCCAACTTACGGCAACTTGGTCAAGTTTACCCCTGAATACTATTGTTCTCGGGCATGGCTGGGGCTTCGACTACGACTCTGAGAGGCTAAACATCAGGCTATGGGAGCAGTTCATCACCCTGCAGGTAGACGTTGACTCATAAAGGATACTCGGAGCGTCGAATGTCTATTCGAGACATGAGATCAGCTGTAAACTGCAGTGTACCAATATGTCTAAGTTGTCAACGATGTCTTTCTTTGGACCCTTCCTAGCCATGAGGTTGGAGCCATTAGGTCAAGGCTACTTCCAGAATACGTTACCACAGGTACAGACCTGCCACTGGGGCTTGTGTTTTGTGTAAGCGTGAAACTGCTCTTCCTGTGTGTCTTACCTTGTTCCATCTTTCTTGGACACATCCCAATGCATAGAAGTCCTTTTCTGGAAGTTGAAGCATTAAAGGATTGACAGCAGAACTTGTTCCTAAGGTCCAGGCCTCACCTCCGAGACTGTGAAGCTCCTACGTTGCCAGCATGGCACAGGTAATTAGAAGTGTAATATTGACTGGGCTTATGATGTTTCGAATCGTCAACTCAACTGGGGATTTTGTCCTATCAGAGTGGTAGACCGACTTACCAATATCAAATTGGATGATTTGTATTTGTCAAGTGCAAAGTATTTGTGTTTAGCGAAGAGGCTGGCAAACCAGATCCTCCTTGCTGTAAAAGCGTATCGCAATACATACATATATATATATATATATATATATCCAACAACAAACACTTACGCGCTGCCGCGCCTTGACCGTCTGGTAACGCCAACCTGCTATCTAGATATGCATGCACATAAACTGTCTATATAAACTAATACAGTCCCGTTTCACTAGGAGTCAATGTTGAAAGCAGACCCGTCAAAGTCAACCGATCTTCACTACCATCCGAACTAGCCTTCTCAACAATAACACTGTGATCCCTTACCCTGACACCCTTCAGGTCTCCCACACCATCTCCAGCACGGTTAGGCATATACTCCCTCGCATACGAAGGTAGATTTACCTCCTTGTTCTTTACCACTGTTTCAATAGCGTATATGACTTCTTCCGCGACAGGGAACGCTTCTCGGAGCTCCATGAGGGCTCGGCACGCTTTTATGAATGTTTCGAGTTGGATAGGGCTCTCTTCAATGGCGAACAGGACTTTGAAGGCGCAGACGGAGCATGCTTGGATAAGCCAGTGTTCGTTATGGATCGTGTATAGAGCGCGGAAGTGCCAGATCGTTGACATGGCGTTTGTTGCATGGGCGTAGGAGGTAAGACGTGGAATGAAGGGGCCGAAGACCGATTTGGGAATACGGTCGAAGGGTTGAAGAACGCTGATTAATACGAGATCCGCGCTTAGACTAGATACATAGCTGTTACCAATCAATACTCTGCATCATCTTGTAAAAGACTTACTGTAGTAGTATAGCAGCGGGAAGAACCGCATTCTCAGCCCTTAGCTCCTCCGGCAAGGAGAACTTCCACTCCATGATTTTAGAGTACAACTCTACAGCACGTCCGGTATTTCGAGATGGTGGAACTCCCTGCTCCAAGGGAATGAGGAACTCGAGAACCTGCTCTGTTATTTCGGTAAAGTTACATTCGGCCTCGAATATCTCACGCTTCATCGACCGCCGGGGTGCTACGGAAACAGGATATGAGAACCACCAATACTCTGGGTTCTCGGTTCTATTCACCGGTGAGTTTTCTTCTTGCCACGTTTTATCTCGTGCAGGCTTCTTGATAACGAGACGACGGCATAGGCCATGCATTGGTTTCCTGAGACACATGTCAGTGAGTTTGGTTCGGCGTGAGCACATTACTTACCAGTCCCAAACATAGAAACCCCATTGTATCCAAGACAACGCATGCGCTTCGGCCCTCTGTCTCGAACCCGCAATAGCAGTATCCGTAGAACGATAAATATCATCAAGTCTCAGCGCCAAGTACCGCGACTGCATAAGCCTGTGGAACTCGAGCGCCGTTTCTCCGTTGCCTAGGGCGCCTTCATACACATACATAAGTGCCAGACCCTGTGCCACCGGTAATGAAGGCCTTGTGTCTTCCTGCTTCAGACACTGGATGGCTTCTTGGGCGAATACCTGTCCTCGGGTACTGAGTTCGTCTGGTATGCTGAATGTAATCGGATTCGTCGTATATAGCTGTATTCTTGGTTTTAGCCTGCAGAGACTCTGAAGGGGGGTGGTAAAGCCTACATACACAACTAACGGCCAAAATGGCATTGACGAGAAATGGTGAGCAGAATCGCAGTGCTGAGGGCACGCCTGTTACCTTTGGGTCGAGGTTCTTTAGGTCGTCTTCGAAGATAGTACGGTCGATAATACGGTTACATGATGTGTCCCACGTCCAGAACAATAGTAGCAAGTGGCTTAGAAACTTGTCATCTTGTATGACGTTGGTCCATCGCGAAAAAGGGAGTATATGCCCTTGGAGATCAATGGATGCAGAGTCGTCAGGGGCTCTGCCCTGAGGTTCTCGCCAGGCTGCCTCAAATAGGCTGCCAGGTTGGTCGTTTCTGAGAGAAAGATTAGACAGGCGTTTGGGGATTTATGGTGTACTCACAAAGCTGTGAGTCCGGTCCGTGTCTGCTGTTGAGGTTGGGAAAGGCTCACGCGTGTCGCTGAGAATGTTGGGGAGCTGGCGCTTCCGGATGTTGTAGCGCTGTTTGTAGTATTGTCGCTATTGCTTCGCAGAAGAGGATTTGCCTGTTTCCGAGACGTGGGAGCGGCTGAAGTCCCTCCCTGAAGGTCTTCAGTAACGCCTTTGACGTCCTTTCCGGCTCGTATTCTCCGCAGTATCTCGTCTGTCTCATGCGGCTCTCTGGTCTTGAGGGAAGAGTAAAGGCTCTCGTGATCAACGATTCTTTCTTTTAGTTCATCGTGCTTTCGTTTCAATGCTGCAGCCTCGGCTTCGTAGTGGTTGCTGGCATAGTGACATTCTCTCCCAGCAGTAATGCAGCCAGAGCACCTTGGTCTTTGGCCATTGCACTGTTAGAGTCAGTAAACTACCCATCTTGACACAGAAGCTTCTACAACTTTAGCTTTGCGTTGTCTGCAAGCCTGGCATGCAGTCTTGACAGATATTCTCTTGGGTATATTCAGCTTGGGTGGAGGCCTGGGTGAGCCTCCTTCAGGAGTTGGGCCTGGCAGAAGAGCCCGAAGTCGGCCTGCAGAAGACGACGACGAACTTGGATTATCATCCATATTTATCAACAGATGAAGTTGGAAGCTGAGGGTGCTAAAGTTTCAAATAGGGCGAGAGGTTGATGCTCTCAGCGATCAGCGACAGGCATTTTAAAAGGGCTAATTCGACAATTAACGACTTATGGTTGAACAGATCAAGAGGCGAATTATGATAATGCTATGAAAGAGATTCTGAAAGCCTGTCTACCTGGGGTTGTCAGAATTGATGTCCTTTCCATGCCCTGTAACTTCGACGACATTTCTTCTGTATATGATGTATATGCTACGTCACATCTGCCCTATTTGGCCCCGGAGTTTTCGACAAGCGAGTGAATGTGAGCTCTATTGAGATCCATTCAAGTCCGTCACCGACCTGGTAGTGATCGACCTTTTAACTCATGTGTGTAATACTGACGCCGGATATATAAGTCTCCTTACTACACGTCTGATATCCGCACTGACGTCTATCTATCTATCTATCTACCTTATATCACGGTGGATATTCTGAATCATGGTCACATTAAAATCACTCCCAGATCAAATTTTCAACTCGGTTTGCATTATAGCCCAGCTCTAGGTCTGAGCAATCTCATCGCTGTATAAAACTATAGATATCATCATAAACGTCGAGAAACACAGGAGGCCTCCTCCTCATCAATCTGTAAACAGAGCCGCAACTCCATCGCCAAACCAACTGCCTCCCTGATAAAAGAAAAGGTCATGAGAATCCTGAGACACATGTCTAAACCAAACCAAGCATCCTGACAAACGCCAACAGAAACAAGAACTAAGAAACCGCTCAAATCACGGGGTATCGATTTCAAACCTATCCTCCAACCCCACGGCACGACACATCACAACACAAGCGTCAAACTTGACCAACGCAACTCACAAAACCACCTGAGTCTAGCCCCAAGCATTCCAACAATCAAGCAACGGCGTTCGACAAAGCCAACCCTGCCTGCCATTACCGCAAGATGTACAAAGAGGTTGGGAATATTCATATACGGCCAAATCATGTACTGATGTCGCTTCATGCAAACAAAGTCAGGGTATCACGCCGTCGGATGACGTCTTCCTTCACCGTTACAGATCATGATCCTGCCTAGCGGAGAAGGAAGCCAAGACACCCTCAGTAAAAACAATAATAATAAAGCTGTGAAAGCAAGAAAAGCATCTGACAAGCTCAGCTGACAGTCTAGTAAACTCCCAGGGGCCAGTCGTTTCAGATTGTTGGAGAGAATGTCGGTTCGTAGAGTCAGATACCAATGCCGATGGGATGTTGTTGAATGCTGCTATTTGAACCCATAGCCAAGTAAATTCAGAGTAGGGATGTCATTGTACCAAAAGAGATAAAGAAAATTCCATGGTCGTGTATCATGCAAAGGATCATGCCCGCAACGTGCGTCGTCTCCGCTGCCAGGTATAGATAGAGGAAAAGACGGTTCAAGGGAATAGGTCATAAGTCGTCAAATCATTGTCGTCTGAGAACGACGGGATGGATGAGGCATAAACCAGCTCAATATGCTGCAGCAGTAGATCCTTCGCTTGTTGCAACAGCAACTAACGCCTCAAGGCGGCCTAAAGAGCCATTGCTGCCAGGTCGTCCCTGTTGCTGCGGTTGCTGTTGCTGCTGGGTCTGTTGATGCGGGTGCTGTTGCTGCTGAGGGTGCTGGGGGTGCTGATGATGTTGATAATTTTGTGGGGGTGGTTGTTGTGGTGATTGCTGATATTGAGGATGTAGTGGTGCTTCTTTGATAGGAAATCCACTGAAGCCAGTAAAGTTCGGATGCACCATCCTATCCACGTGAGCCATCCGTGGATCTTGCTGCTCCTGAGGAGATCGGCCGTCTCTATGGACGGAAACAGGCCCATTATACCACCCGCGACGCTTATTTTCTCTCGAAGTTGTAATAGATGGGGCAGAGACTGTGTGTTGATGGAGAGATCGTGGGGCAGAGGTAGGGGGAGGCTTGGGTCCCTGGTATACGGGAGGCCGCTCCTCGAAACGAACAGTAGGAGGATTGAGCCGCACGTGCTCGGCTTGAGCCTGCACAGCCTTGTTTGCTTCGGAAGCCCAGCTACCCGCACTATCACGAGGTGGTGTACTGTGGTTGATATCAAGGCGATTAAGGCCTCTCTGAAGGCTCGCATCATACAAGTTGAGGTTTCGTCTCTCGTCCTGCATCGGGGTTTCGGGGAGATGGGGTGGATAAGAGGCTCGAATCTGAGGCTCTTGATCGACCATCATGGGCGAAGGCTGTCTCCTTGGTGGGGTGGCAGGTGGGAGAGGGTCGAACGACTCAATACCGGGCAGGCGGAAGGACGACTGAGAAGCGGAAGGGTTCGCGATCGGTGGCGGTGGGTTCGGACGGACAGATGACTGGTTCACAACGGAGCTTAGCTGACTGGGGTTCCCATTGATATTGCGGCTGTCTGGATGCCACGTTCTTCGGCGCCAATCACCCTCCGACATTGACTCCCTTCGGGACCATTGAGAAGTCGATGAAGGAGTTGGGGATGGAGGGATGCCGTTACTGTTTGGCGGGAGAGCACCCACATTCGAAGCATTAGCGGGGCCAGGCCCAAACATCATTGGTCTTCCCCCTGGTGCTCCGGGGGATTGAAATGGATTCCCTGGGACACTCAAACGGCGGCCTGGTGTCCGACTTCCAGAGGTATACATGCTGTGCGATCGTGAGTGTGATGTTGCTGGGGAAGAAACGCCTGGCCCCCATCTGGGGCTGCTCTGCCCAGTTGAGAAGGTAGACGAAGTTGGTGTTCCGAAATCACTAGGAGAAGCAGGTCGGTAGTGAGGGTAAGACCCCTCCATAGCACTCCGGTAAGACTCCAAAGATAATCGCGAGCGAGGGTCTGCCATCACCAACGGAGGCGGTCGCCGTCTGGCATCTTGAACGCTGTAAGCCGAACCGACAGAACTGACACTGGTGATACTCGAGGTAGAGAGCGACTTGGAATGTCCTCTTTGAGGACCGCCGGCACTACCACCTGTTGATGCTCTGGCTCTATTACCGGCTTGCCGAATTCGATCAGGCCGCATCTGCCGTTGAAACCGGGAACCAGTTGCAGCTAGCGAGTCCATAGGAATGTTCTCGTTGACATGGACCGTCTGTGCATGTTGCCTCAAGTTATCGAGTCTTGAAAAGCGGCGAGAGCAGTGACACTGGAATGGGCGTTCTCCTGTATGTTTTCTGTTGATACAAGTCAGCATTAACGACAAACCAAGTCAGGTCGAGGGACCAAGGAAGACCACAAACCTGATATGCCGGGCAAGATGCTCGCTCCGCGTAAAACTCAAATTACAAGGAGGATAGTCTGTACAATAGAAGCGCTGCGACTTTTTCTTCTTGCCTGACCTGGGTCCGTCTGCTCCAACACTTTCGTCGTCGGATCCAGCCCCATCCTCAATGGTGCCAGTCTCCCCATCGGAATCGTCCATATCAACGTCGCCCGAGTCTCCTGATTTGGTCGAATGCCGTGAGTCGTGACGCCGAGGCATCTTTGGTTTCGGTGGTTGTTCGGGCATCTGTATTCCTTGGGGAAAGGGACTAGATGGCAGTGGCTTCTGGCTGGCCAGGTTGAAAGTTGCCCTTGTTGGGGTCGCACCATCGTCGGCAGGTATTTGTGAGTGTGTATGAGGGGCTGTGTTGGGTCGAGGAGTTGCGGTCGATGAACCCATGACGTCTTCGCGGGAGACCGTCATGGCCAGCGGGGAATTCACTGGACGAAAAGCGGCCGCCATGGCGACAAAAGTTCGAAGTCGATACTGGCCGCAGTATTATCGATATTAGTGACGATATTACCGTTGCGCGGATCCGCCTCTCGGGAAAGGGCGAGAAAGATGCCCGGAGGGTGCAACGTCCTGGTCACACAGGTACGAGAATTCGGTCGGGTAATCGTTATGCACCGCTATATGTGCTGTCGGGTCTGCAATGTTTTCACTTGGATGCACCGACAATCTCACTGAGACAGAAAACCGCGAGACGGCCAAAGGACTTAGCAAAAATCGCGAGGCGGGTGATGACGGCCACAGGCAACCCTGTGGAGGACGAAAACCTTCTGGCGATGGGGGGGGATATGGAGATAAGAAGTAATAGTCCGAGGAGTCAGGGTGCAACAAGACACGCACACACAAAAAGGGACATGTACAAGTCAAGGCAGAATACGGATCCCAACGGGATAGAGGGATAGATGTAAGGGGTCAAGAAGAGAGACAATGAGGATGGAGAAACAGGGAGCGTGTGTGAGAGTTGTAAGAGAATGAGTAGAGGCGTTCTCAGGCTCCTACAGTACCCACGACCTGCTAACTAAGGCCCGCCTTAGAGCGTACGTAGAAATGCCGGCGGGGAGGGAGGCGTGCGTAGTGGTGATGCAAGCCAGCCAAGGTCAGGGCCTAGATCCGCAGAGTGACACAGACCAGACTGAGATGAGTTGAGAATTATTCTTTGAGTAAATGCGAAAGCGATGCAGCCAAACCCATTCGACGGAATAATTCGTCGCTTCCAGGGCTATCCTTTGTGGTTGCAACTTGAATTCATCAAGGGATAACCGAGAAAGTCAGAATCGAAACTATATTGTATGTGTGTTGCTTGCATACAAAGACTGCAGTAACAACGTGAACCAAAACGTGCGTGACGCAGAAAGGTAGGAAAAAAGGTTGACAGTCGCAAACTGGTGAGTCGAGACAGGGGCAGAGAGGGAAAAAGTGGCAGGGCCGCAGGGGCAAGCGTGGCGATGATGTATGTCTATGGTTGCTTTTCCGCCCCAAATCGATTGTCTGTGGAGTCCGGATCCGGGATGGGTGCATGGAGGCAGGATGGAGTCGCCCAACTCTCTTGTTTCCCTTGCACTAAGACAGAGTCTTTGTTAGTTGCGTTGCCCGACCAATCAATCTAGAGGTCAGCCACCTCACGTCGTCGTGCTCACTGTTGTCATGCTCATTGACCTGGATCACCGTAGTCCGACAGGAACCTAATTCTTTAGGGTTCTCCAGCTGGCTG